GCCCCCATACCCCGACCCGACAAGATTTTTGGGAGGATTTTAATCACGGTGACTCAGTCGACCCAATGATGGTAGGCCTTTTTCCCGTGCGCACCAGAGGCCCAGACTTATTTCAGGTTCTGTGACCTCCACACGGTCGCTGCGGGTTTCGAACTTTGGTCATTGATCCAAATTTCCCACCACTGAACCAACTGAGCTACCCGTGCGGGTAGGGATCCGTAAGACCCATTTGTATGGCCAGGAGGCAAAAATGTCAAAAATGGACTCCGATTATATGAACACATTGTTTAATTCCTTCTTTTTTTAAACGAAAAACTTATATTAAATCAACCGAACCAACCCAATAACAAATCCCAAGATCTGAATCCCCTCTATCCAACCAAAACCAAAACCCATCGGCCTTCTCACATCATGACCAGACATAGAATAGTCCACACCCTATAAAGAGCGAGACTAATCACTGAAGCTGTGAGAGTATAGAGGCTATTAGCGGCTGAATCAGCCTGATTGCCTCCAACAGTAATCTATCAACTAAAGCAAAACAACACACCCACCTACCTTGCTTATTGTTTATCATAGTAGCAACAAAACAGAAATGATAAAACAGACTGGACTGAAAGTAAAAGATAAGAACTAGTAACAAAATCTTCCAAACCCTAGTCGCGCAGTTCCTCCACTGCGGCGGTTCCGGAGGGGGATGAATTTCCATCACTTCATATTCTTCCTTCTTCGCTTGGATCTACCCATGAGTCGCTTTCATCTATTGACCAAAACTTATGTATTATGTATTAATTGAAGTGCAAACAGATATAAAAAATCGAATTTCCATCAATCAGATATGTATTATGATTAATTGAAGTGCAAACTTATGATCAAAATAATGCACAATATAAATTGATATAAAAAATTGAATTTATTTACAAAAATGTCACAACATTTTATGATTTATGGTAATACACATTTCTATTTCACATAATGCACAATTCTCAAATCAAACGCTACATACTCATTCTCATTCACATAAATTATGTGTGTGTAGAGAGGGAGGGGGGCTAAAGGTATAATTGTTCTAACTTTACAATTGTGGTGTTTAGTTGTTCAAAAAGTGAGCAAAATGCATATTCTCCTACGTATAATTCAAGGGTATTTGAATTTATTTCAAACCATGTATATGTTGATTGTTAGTTTTCAAAATATGTCCAATGATTTTCAAAACTACATCATATATGTTGCGTAATAAATCAATTTGTATCGATTGAGCTGAAATTGCAAGTAACGATGATGTAGTTATAAAATATCAGTAAATTAACGGGTCAATCTACAGAGAAACAGTTGATATTATAAAGTTCGAGAATAAGGATTACTAAGGCTTCAGTATTCACCTAAATATTTTAATTGAATTTAACTCCAGTTTTTTGCCAATAATTATGAATACGATGTCGCTGATATATTTCCGACTCTAGTTAAGATAGTGAGAATGTGGTTTTCGTTACATGTAAGACTCGTTGAGAATCAAGACATCACACACATATCATACAAGACCTATTACATTTCTATTCTCGGTAATTTTATGTTTATCATTTAGTATTCATAGTTTAGATATCAACATTAATTGCAAGCATAAATGATAAATAAAAACTTGATGATTCAAAATTTTATTAAACACCGAGTGGGCGTAAGGTTCGTCCCTAGCATTAGCTAAGAAATTAGCATCTAATGTTCATACTAATCACAATACAAAAATTAAAATATAATGAAATATGAAATAAAAAAGGAAATAACATTTAAACACCAATGGTTGAGAAAAGAGATGTTCCCTCTTCAACAACTCCAAGAGATAAGCAAGAACAAAAATATGAAAGCTATGAATTAAACTATGTAATGAATAATTGAGGGATGGAAATGAGGGTTTAAGTAGGCTAAAGTTTGACATCTTTAAATCTATTCACGATCATATATTGGATCAAATGAACTTTATCAACTCTCAACCTCCAAATATCTTCACACCCTTTCAAGATATTTCAGCATGTTCGAGTGTTTCTGAAGAATCAGACCCAACCGGCGCAAGTTAGGTCACGGGACCGGCGTCGTTCTATGTATGTATTTCATAAAGGTCAATGCCTAATCGGTTTCGGTACTCGGTTAATTAGGTCATGAGTTAGGCGCCGGTTCATGTTCGTCATTTGCTTGTTTGGTAAAATCAACGGGACTGATGTCGGTTGCTTCCCTTTCGCAATTTTAAATTATGTTTCTCCGTTCTGATGTCTGTGGTTGATCAAGAAGTGTCGGTTTGGGACCCCTTTGACTATTAACCCCCGTTTCTAGTAAATATAATATTTTGTTATTGACATGTCTCTACATCATAACTTGTTTATCTCAAACCAATAATCATTTAATGTAACTAATAAGTCTCAAAAAGAGGATTCACATTTTAAATTTGATATGCTCTTATGATCCACAATTTTGTAGGGCATATTGAGTCTCATGCATTGTTAATATAATAAATAAACCACATATATGGCACGACTTGACCAGCAGCAACAACAACAACGACAACAACAACATCCAAGCCTTATTTTCAAAAGAATTTGGGATCAACTTACATTAATCAATCCATGATATCAGAGCCAACAAAAAAGAGATATAAGAAAAATAAAAAGATAATATACGATAAAAAAATAAATATAAAATAAAAGAACATAATAAAGATAAAAGATAAAAATATCATAAGAATATAAGAAAGATAAAAAGATAAACAGATAAAAGTAATAGTTGTGTCAAGAGCCCACACCTAAAAAAATCGTCCTCGAGTTTGCTCTTTCTGAAGTCATGCTCTCGTCGAATAAAAAAGAGAAAGTGTCAAATAGGTCCTGGTACTATAATGAAAACGTCAATTGAGTCCTTGTACTATTAATTTAACCAATTAGATCCTTGTACTTCTAAAAATGAGTCAATTTTCGTTTTCAGTCAGTGACTAACTGATTAGTTCCGGTTGGGGCTGACGTGGCTGCTTACTTGGCTTTAATTAAAGTATTAAACTGATATGTTTAATGACATGTCATACACCACAGGTTAAAACAGGGTTCTTTCTATTCCCCAACCTGCGATCTGCGAACCTGCGAACGACAATGGAGAAATAGGGCTTCTTTCTATTCTTTCTGAAGGTTGAGTGGAACAGATCAACCGAAGAGGAAGAGGCGGCGGTGTTGAGGTAATTGAAATTCTGCGTATTTGTTCTCTCTCGAAAGGAAATAGTAGAAATGTCTGCATCTTCTACATCTACTGGCAGAAAAATTCCGAATTTTACATTCGATTATGAGCCGGCCGTGTATTGTCATTGTGGGATGAAAGCGCCGTTGTGTACTGGAAGAGAGAGTGGAAAAATGTTTTATGGGTGTCCAAATTGGAAGGTAAATGTTGTATTTTGTTTAATTATTTTGTTGTAAATTAAATTAGTTAATGTAGTATGTTTTAACGTAATTAAGTGTATTAAGTTTAATAACGTCATACCCCCCTCTTCCATAGAAAAAGTGTAATAACGTAATAAGAATTCAGTGTGTTTTAATGTGTAATGTACAACCAACTAAAGTTTACATATTCTACCACAATATGCTGTTTAGGTTAGTGACATCTAACTGAACTAACATCAAGAAAACAATTTACCAAATGTGAGTATGGCCAACAAGAGTTAGTTCTAGAGAAATTTCTAGAAAAAATGCATTTATAATGTGTAGGACTCATTATACAAGTGGAAGATTAAAGACTGACAATGGAATGACTGTTGTATTAGTTACTATTGTATTTTGGAATGAATGTTGGGTACTGTTTTTTATGATAGGTGGAAGGATGTGGTTATTTTGTGTGGAAGGATGTCATGGACGCAAACAGGAATAGGATTCATGGTGAAGGAGTGTACCGAAAAACTAATGAAATGCACAAGAAGATTTCTGATCTTGCTCAGCAGATGGCTATTCTGATTCGTCTGATCCACATATGTTTGAGTCTTTCTTTCCTTCTCCTCCCCGCCTCTTCTCCCCCACCTCTCAACTCGTCTAACAGGTGCATCACTCGGTCTTCTATGTACATGATCAAATTAAACCACCGCAATCGAGACTATTGCATCTTATCTTCTCTAGGTGTTACTCCCACCTTTTGTAGTGATTCTTTCATTCTTCAAACGGGTTTTTCTAGTATATCCACACATCTAATGCAACACATGTATCTCTATCACACTCATCTTTTGAATGTGACATTGTTTTACGCCATACACTGATGCATGCCTAATTATTGTTCGATAAAATTTACCCTTCACTCTAGTCAGCTTGATCATTTAGACAAAATCTAAATGTGTGATTAACTTTTTTCAACACAATACATGTTTGTTTATTAGCGTCTAGTTGTGGCCATGACACTATGATCTTTATTCCCATTAGGCCTTGTAGTTATATTTACAACATCTTATATTCTAAACATGATAGATTATCTCATAAAACTCACTTCATTTTAATTATCAAATATTAGATCAAGTTATTATAACACACAACATCTACACTAATCAACACTAATTACGAATAAAGTGTTATCATTGACATCAACCGAATACAATAGCCACTCCTATTTCCTCAATACACTCTCTATTCAATTTTAGTTAATACTAGATCGAATTTCTATACTCTCATGTACATCCAAAGTGTATCAAAACATTGTTAAAGTTTGCAAGTTGTATCATGCAAGAACAAATTAAGAATATAATACACTTGCTAACTCATTTTTTAATTGGTAAGTGACATTTTATATGAGATTATTTCTATTTGTTATCTTCTATTGGATTGGGTTGGAGCCTTTTTCTATTCACTTGAGAATGTGGGTCATGGATCCAATATCATATACTCTATCACCCATATTTATCAAGTTTTAAATCTTTGAATTCTTCAACCACTTTTGACATAAAGAACAAAACAAATTTGGGAAAGATTTAGTTTTGTTCATTACAGAGGTTTTAGTTTATTATGAAAGACCTAAAAAGTTCTTCATTCTTTAGGTTCCTCTTTTTCAATGGACCTATCAGAATTCTCCAAATGTGAGTGTTGTAAATTCCACGTGGGTCTATGTAACATTTGCAAAGTAATTGGTTGTTGACTCTGTGAGGTTTGTGGATCCACGTTAGGAAAGAGATTTTGATATTTTATTGAGTAGCTGGGTAATACTGAGGGCCTCAACGCCACCATAGGTGCTGTATTAGTGATCATGAAATCTCCTGACTGAGGTTGTTGTCGAGGTTTGTTGAGGGAGGTCCCACTCCCACGTCCTACAGGAACATCATGGTTGTGTTTTCCTTCATACGCTGTGATCACTGCCCGATGATCATGGGCAGCTCGCTCCACGTGTTTCCTCACCAGACAACCCTGATGCGTGCATCTATAGTAGCTCCTGCATATTAGAAAGATCGTGTGCTAAAAGTCTCGCGCAAAAATAATAAAAATATAATCTTGTGTCAGACTCAATTTTCAATTAAATTATTCAAATTTTAAGAGTAGTAAGACACATAATCTCATTTGTATTACTCATCTATGTTTTACTCCAATCATCTCATTCATGTGGGAGCAAGGGGTACAATTTGAACCAAACATGTACAAAAAATCAGATATTTTTTTACAGAATCTTATGCAAGTATAGTCAATGTTTTTTTTTTCAAATTTGGGGTGGGTCGAGGCCTAGCACGCCCCCTTACCTACGTATGCACCCGCATGTTTACTACTCCGATCGTAGGGTTTTACAAAAACAAAGAGTGAAATTGTAGAAGTAGTGAATATGATAAAAAAAAATCTAGGAAGAACTGGGCGTGACCAATTAATAAAAAATTTGCTTAGAAAGAATATATAAACAAATAAGAATACTATGATCTAATTCAATGTTCTCAATGAAATAGAGGAAATTTGCCCAAATATGAGTAAAAAGAACGTGGTTTATCCATTTTTACGTTCTAAATCCATTGTTCTAAAACTCAATAGGCGCTAGTCGGGCGGTTGAGGGGTGCCTAGCGCCTAAGCGGCCGACTAGGCCGATTTTTTTTACCACCTAGGCCGATTATTCCTCTACACTTAGGGCCGACTATGCCGACTAGACCAATTTTTAGAACAATGAGTATATCAATTGGCGTAAAACATATTGATATGTTTTGACATTATCAAACATTAATATGACAATATCAATGCCATAACTATTCTTATACATCGGGAAAATTACTGTACTTCTATTTCGGAATATCATATTATTTTTCTATTTTGAACTATCAATTATTTTTAATCGCAAATTCTAATGAAATAATAAGCAAGGTTATGTGAGGCTTTTTCATAAAAAAATGGGCTAAAGGGTCAAATAGGTACATGAACTAACTTAAAGTGTTCAATTAGCCCCTTATATAGGAGGTTCTGCACGACCGTCGCCAATTAGGGCGGTTCCCGGTAAACAATTTTGATGAAATTTTTTGAGAATCTTCTTCATTAAGTCTAGTTTACCCATATCAAATTTCAGCTAAAAATTAAATCGGGAAGGCAATCAAATGATTTTCCGAAATGTACTGCGCTGTTTAACTGCGCAGTTATCTTCAAAAAATCATTTGACCACCTTCCCGGTTGATTTTTTAGCTGAAATTTGGTATAAGTAAACTAGACTTAATGAAGAAGATGCTCAAAAAATTTCATCAAAAAATTACATCGGGAACTTCCCCAATTGGCGACGGACGGGCAGAACCTCCTATATAAGGGGCTAATTGAACAAGTTAGTTCATGTATCTATTTGACCTTTTAGCCTAAAAAAATGTGAGAGAAGTTGTTCAAGTAAGAGATCATGTACGTATAAAATGAATGCTTACCTAGGATTTGGATTTTGTTTCACAACTTTTTGTCCATATTTTCTCCATCTATAACCATCATCAAGAATATCAATGTCACTTGTTGTTTGAACCACAATCCGTGGTTGCCGCACAGTTGTACTTGCATTTTCATCTTCGTTTTTCCTGATAAACCGATATATATGTACATATATACAACTTTAGGATCAAATACTAATAGTCCTTCCAATGAAAGGTATAAATAAATTTGAAGCATCGAATTTAGGATCTAATGACTCTAAAATATGTTTAAAATGCATTAAAGTGGATGAAAAACGCGGTGACATTTTTGTAAATAAATCGAAGTTTTTCTTCTTTGCAAAAAGTGAACTTCCTGTGTGCAATAGGTATTGTAAATGGTCAAATGTTGATGACATAAAATTTCTCAATGCAATAGTGCACCTTAGAGGCTTAAAGCTAGATGCATTTTCATTTTGTATGAGAAAACTACTTTTTACTTGAACAGGATCCCAAATATATTTGTGTCTATTAGCTCCCACATCCAATAAATACAAATCAAATGAACATACACACACCACATGTTTACTTCAATATATTGTTTTCCCACGTAGTGCATAAATCTGATTTTTATACATTAAAAATACATATTATAAAAAATAGTAGAAGTTAATATTTTTGAAAATACAGATTGAGATGGATTGTCAAGATCTTACTTGATGTTACTCCGTATTTTCTTTTTATGCATGACTAAATATAAGCAATTTTTTAAGTTTTACACTTTTACCACATCAATGGGATATGAGAATATTGCTAGATGAGAGAGATGTAGCACAACATTTATTTAGGGAGTACATCTTAGAGACCTTAAAAATGTTTTTCGATTTTTTTCTTAAGAAAGTTTAAAATAGTGTTATTAAATAAGTGTTTCTACCTAAATTAACACTTTCAAAAAGTAAAAAGAAATATGTGATTATGTGAGTGCTTGAAAATATTTTTTATTTTTTATAGAGTATTACATAAAAGTACCTTTCACAACTCTAATTTTTACTTATTAAAATCACTTTTCTTTTCAAGCGTTATATATCAACATTCACTATTAATCACTATTCATATAATGTCTATAATGAATCATTTATTAAAGCTAGAATCAAACCATTTATTGAAATGGTAATTAGTAAGGGACAAAGCTAATTGCATCATGGCTCTTACTCTCTTAGTCATTAAAATATACAGGATAACTACAGAGAAATCCACACAGCGTAATTTAACATACCATCTTTTAGCACTTGGCTCATTTTCTTCATCATCTCTGAAAATAAAACCCTGCTCAAAATCCTCATCGCCGGAGGAAACTGTAGAATTTTCAGGCGCAATGAAGCTCGTTTGTTGATGAGAACTCCCAATAAGCAACCTAACACATTTTGTTGATGACCCGCAACATCAATATTTATGCTTTTATGTGTAATGATAGAAGAATTTTTTTTTTTTTTTAACTTTTTTTTACTCCAGGGGTCCGGAGGGGAGGGCTGGGGGCTGGAGTAATCAGGGCCGAAAGTCACTCCATTAAGTTTCAAACCCTTGTGTGTCTAGCGTGTTTCAAAACTCAAGACCTCCCACTAGGCACGATAACCTCACAACAAGCTGGCCTGGAATGCTTGTGTGCCTAGAAATTCTTAAATTCGAGTAAAACATAGATAATGTGATCATCATTGTGTAATTTCTTTCCTAAAACATGACTCATTCGTTCCCGATAGAGAGAATTTTATGTTAATAATAGATCAAAAAAGTTATATTTTGGGAATGAAACATAACTACTCCTAGTTTTTGCCACTTGTAGTTCTCTGACTAAAATGTTAGTACACTTTTGATATTCGACTTTAAAATTCTTACACTTCTAGTCCTTCAACTACTGTGCGAAAGACATGTCTTGTACTCGTCTTTGAAACTTTCAATATTTTGTCATTGAAAATGAGGTCTCTAAAATTGATTTTTATGAAGAGAATGAGAAGTGCACGTACCGTTTAGTAGACGAGTGAGGAGGCTTGGGGTGATTATGGCTGCCTTTATACACAATTTCAGTAATGTGTCCATCCAAGTTCCTCTCAACTTTCTTCTTAGTGGAGCAGTTTTGGAAGGTGCATTTGTAATAGCTTCGTGGGTTTTCGCTTCCTTTTACCTGTTTCTGTCCATACTTTCTCCAGTTGTAGCCATCCTCGGCTTTTTGTGCTCTAACGTTCTGTGTGGGTTTCTGGTGCATGACTGCGTTTTCATGGGAGATGGTAGTATGGGTTTCAGACAGTTCTGGTTTTATCTCAGCCTTCGTGGGGGAGAAGTTGGCAAATCCCATGCTTGGTTGATGCATTGGAATTTCTTGTTCCTGTTTACACAAATGGTCGATCGAAGACAATGATTACGAATTTCATAGATAATGACATGTTCATGTTTTTTGGATTGTTTATTGGGAGATTTGCGATTCAATCATGTAATTTATGTTTATGTTCTTCATTAATCATGTAACTTCACTCATTTACATACAGGATGGATCCAGAATATCGAGTCAAGGGGGCGAATTTTTTCTGTTAGTATAGGGGTGAAAAAAATTCGCTCGTGTATCGTGGCAATTTTTTCCGCTTGTGTAGCGGGGCGATTTTTTTTGCTAGCATAGGGCTCTGCGGCTAATTTTCATTCAAAAAAATCCATCGGTACATACACAATGATATTTAAATTTATTACATTCTAAGTTTTTTTTGAAAGAATATTACATTCTATGTTTAAACAATGGAACAATAATTTTAATTTTTTAATTGTAAATGCTCTAAAAAAGTGTTGATACATTAAAGCATAACAAATGACAAATCAAATGAAAATTATTTGAAGGTAAAGAGTTTAAAAGATACACACATATGGATCTTATTAGAATAAAGAATTGGTTTTTGAATTGCAATTTTTGTCTACTAGGGATGGTGTTCGTGGATCACGAGAAGTTTTCTTAATATTACAATAGTATGTGTGATATTATTATTTTAGAATAATATTATACATAGTATTGTTAATTCACATATATGGTGCATATTGTATTTGTATTAATGCTACATTAAGTTCAAGTTTATTATCTATATATTCAACAAATTGATTTTAGAAAGTAATAAGTAAATGAATTGTGTAATTTAATGTCAATATAATTTATATTTTAGATTCACTTCACATGATCTAAAAATTATTTAACTAGTGTATATGGTATTTAATATTGTTCGATATTTTACAAAATTGAGTAGTAATTATCTAATAAAGACAATTAAATGTTACAAAGCTAGAAATTTTTATATAATGAAGAAAATAATTTAAATACCTCAAACTTTAAAAATGTGTGAGTTAAGCACCCCAAACCTACATGTGTAATATATATACCCCGAACTTTACAGTTATGTTATCACCATTACTATGTATTTTTTATTCAAAAATGTAAACTTATGGTGTTAAGCACATGTTTTAAAATAGTTAAACATTTATAGAGATGTAGTTAAAGCATCATAAATATACATTGTGAAAGAAAAAAAAACATATTTACATGGTACTAATATTACTTTTTATATAAAGTTTGTGATATAAATATTACATATGAAAGTTTGGGGTGTTTACATCACACATCTTCAAAGTTTGGGGTAATCAAATTATTTTCCCCTTATATAATAGATATCCTATGTCTTAAACAATGGGTTGTGCTATTGTTTATTCATTCAAGTTAAGTAAAATATTTTAGATGTTACTTTTTTTAAATCTCCAATTATGTATTACATTATGTAATGCTATATATAAATTTTTAAAACTAAAAGTTAAAGGGGGCGAAAACATATATATCTAATTAAAGTATGAAAATATTACATATATATTAGAAAATTTTGAAAGACCAAGGGGGCGGTCGCCCCCGCGCCCCCCTTAAATCCATCCCTGTTTACATATTCGTTCATGTAACTAATAAATCTCTCTATTTAAGAGGTTTTTTTGTGTAAATTTACATAACTAAACATAGATAAAGCTGAGACGTCAAAAGTGATAGGAGTAGATCTCCAATTTCTCTTATTCATTTGATAATGAAAATCAATTAGACTACTTTGTACTTGTTTATTTAAAAAAAAAACTAGAATCAATATGTTATGTGGTGGTAATAATGGTACCATAACACCCCATATGACTCCATATAAGGAAGTCATATGAGTTTTTAATTTTTTTAGATCAAAGTAGTAAAGACAATTTTCAAACTAACTGTTAGATACCATACACCATTGTTGTTTTTTAGTGACCTCTCTAACTTATTATATTTTCTTTGTCCAATTGTCTCATTTTTTTCTGATTCGTCACACTAAATCGTTTCATACCAAATTTAATAAATTTTGTGCTACTATAAAACATTTTTACTGTATTTTTACTTTTTTATTTGCGATACCAACCACACAAATTGTATTTTTACTTTTTAATAAATGTATCACCTCCCCATATCACAACGCTAATGAAACAAATATAATAATATTGGTTCTATGTTAAGATCAACATTAAATGTGATTCAAACTTGTGACCTTATCTTCTCTTTGAGAGTGTCACAATAATGTTTTTTATACTCCACGAGGCGTCTCGGGGGGGGGGGGGGGGGGGGGGGTGCAGGATCCTGGAGTAATCTAGGCTGAAACTCACTTCATTGAGTTTCAAATCTGAGACCCCTGTAAAGGAGAATGAGCCTGCGACCAGCTGGGCTGAACGGCCTGAACCACTTCCTGGTGTCACAATAATGTTATTGTATAGAATAACGGCAAATGTTCCCCGGCATTTGCCCCACTGATTTTGGTGGTTTGCCTTCCGGGTTTAAAAAAAATAATGTTATTGTATAGAAAAATAGAGAGTACTTGACATGAGAAATTATTGTTGCCATAAATAATGTCAAGATTACATTGTTTAGTTTTTTGAAGAGAGGACTACAATATTTATTAAGTGATCAATATGAAAATGATTAAAAAAACTAGTGGTTAAGGTATTTTTAATATCACTACAAAATGAGTTATTTAATGTGATAATAACCAATTCAATTGTATTTGTTATTGTATTATTATCATTGGTACTATAGCTAGAAAAGATTATTACTCCGTATTATTTAAATTGAACTAGGTAATTACAGTAGAATATATATAAATTATCAGTTTCATGTATATACATACCAAATTTGTCAACTATGGCCCCTAAAATATTCTTATTGTTATTATAGACAAATTTATTTCATGCAGTATTACTCCGTATAACTTAATTAACGCAAATCAACATATATGGGTTAGATTACCATAGATGACTTACGAATATGTTACATCTCTAAAATACTTTTAGAATCGATCATGGTCAATTAATGATTCTTTTAATATTTTTAAAATTTTAGCTTCGCATAAATTTAATTTGTACTCCGTATGATATACGATAGTATTCATCAATTGGATTTTGACTTTCGTTATTATATCCGGCTCAGGGTAAGCTGGGCTGCTGGGTAGTACAATCAAGACCTTTCCGTCGCATGTACTTTTGTTTTGTTTTAAAGTAAAATTTACATAAAATGATCCCATCTATAACTCAAATAGTCAAATTCTTAATTCATAAATCATAAAAAGAAATCTAAAACGTTAATGGTGCATACGTGACATGAGAGATAACCAATGAAAAACAATAAATAAAACATCTTTCTCCTTATTTGAAGGATCTTATATCATTTTGGTAAATTTTTCTTCACAATGTCAAGCACAATGTCTAGATGTAGACACTGTGGTTGACATTGAAGTGAAAAACTTACCCAAAAACACATAAGACCGTTAAAGGACGGAGAGATAAATGTCATAAAATCAATCGTTTGTGTCTATCTAGCTCTCTCATGCCAGATGTGTACCGTGCACATTGTAGTATTGTCATACTACAATAACGTTAAATAAATGTCATACTTAATACTCTAATTAAGTATTGTCACCGGTTTTAAATTCTGAGAACACATTTTCTAAGAATAACTTTAAACGTAGAAGCCCCAATAATTGGTCCACAAAAGAACAAAGTAGAAGCGAAAGGCAAGAATGTCACTATTCTTAGAAACACTTTCATATTCTCCACGATATACGTTTTTTAGGAAATTACTTTCTCATAAATATAATCAAGATAAATATGATGATTAGGTCTCCTAACTAATTAATCAATCGGAAAAGGGTATTTCATTCTAGGGGTTATTCCCTTAATATTATTAAATTGAACTGATTTTCCAGAAATGTGAGTACTTTTAAAAATTGACAAAAAAGTGACTAACAAAGTCATGTATTTGGAATAAGAAAACATGATGTCACTGGAATAATATTTTGTCACTGTATTCGTTTTTTTGTCACTCAGAGTCGTCATCCTCAAATTTTTCACACCAATTACACTGCCACCACAACCAACATAGTGACACCGTCATAGTGACGCTGCCACAGTGACGACGCCTACTCTCCATCGATCGGACAGAAAGAGAAGAAATAGAAAATCAGATGTGGAGTTTGGAAGGGAGACAACTGGGGCACAGACGAATGCTATGGTGATCAGCGAAGAGGTCGAAGATGATGGCGATCTGGGGTCAGCGGCGTACCCGAGGTTGGCTTAGATCGGCGGGGTAACGGAGGTCGGCTGCGCAATTGAGGAGGTGAGAGAAGCACCGTGAACAGGGAAGCTAAAAAGACTGCTGCTATGGTGAGGAGATAGATGCGCTGCTATGGGCCTGGTGCGTCAAGCGTGAAGAAGATTCGGAACTTGTGAAACCACTTAAATAACATTTTTGTCTTCTTTAAAACCAGTCATATTTTTGTCTATTCAAACTCTCACACTCATACTTGGGCCATTCTTTCTTCATTCTATCAAAATTTCTTACATACCACTAAAAGGTCCATTATTTATTAATTATATCACCACCACGTGAGTTCAAATAATGTTTATCACATACACACACGTTACGTACGTACGTTACATGGCAATATATATAATAGAAGCTAATTTACGTATATGAATTAAAGTAAATAGACTAACTAAAATGTCTGAGATTCTTTGTTACGAAGCAATAGTCACTTCATGCAAATTTTGACGTGGTTTTCACTATAGATCGTCCGGAAACAGTCTCTCTGTATTTTAGTACATAGAGCTTTTGCGGCACTGGGCTAATAATAATGTTGAATGAATTAAAGGAGCAGAAGAATTTACGTACCGGCCATGATGAATGTGTTGCTTCAGATGATGGTAGGAACATGGATGAAGAGGCAGCACCCCTACTTTGGAAGCAGTTATCATTATCCACTCTATCTTCTTCCTTGTAGCACTCATTAATTAATCCACCAAATGCACCTGTAGTTGGGGATGGAAGAACCTGCACATAAAACCATTTCCTCATTAAAAACTTATGTTTATATTGCAGTTCTGTCCTAAAACACTAACATAATAAATCATGTACGTGGTATGAAGTACGAAGCAGTGGCGAAGGTGTTAGTTTACACCTTTTGTGTATACCCGTCTGTCCCCAGCAGACGAGTTGTATGTCCACAGACAACTCTGTAGAGTTGTCTGTGGACATACAACTCGTCTGCTGGGGACAGACGGGTATACACAAAAGGTGTACAGTACATCAAGCAAAGTTGTGTTTTACAAGATCTTTACCTTAAAAGTTTAAACAAAATTGAGAATTGGGATTGGTTGAGACCTAAGTTGGCCCCCTAGCTATGCTCCTGGTAGTCTGGTACGTAGTATTTAGTAACTTGGTCTCCTTTTTGGCAAAGCAGTTACTTTATCTTTGAGTTCGTAAACGCTTAATTATTAAAGTATTTCTTACGCCGATAAATATAATCAAATAAATTAAACTACAATACTCCATGATCGACATTTTAAGTTGGAAGGAGTTTACTTATCACGTACATTTGAGTTGGAGAAGAAGAGAGGGGAGTCCAACAGCACGGAAGGGCTTATCGCCGCCGGAGGAATGGTAAAGAACGACGAAGGAGAAGCGGGAGAAGGCGGTTTCGGGATTTCAGCATTGTCGTCGCCGTCATCAATGACATCCCAAAGTGATGAATAAAAACCATTATCTTGATGATTAACGTCGTTCTTGATCGCGTTGTCGTCGGAAAAATGATGATCGGGGAAGGAGAAAGAAGGATAGTTAAAGTGTGTATTTTGGTGGAGGGAATCCATAGCACTAGAACCGTTCAAACCTCCAGCACCACCTGAAGAGCTCATTATTTTTTAGTATATTATTTTTCTTTTATATTTAGTAAATTTTTGTGCAGAGATGGATCGAACAAATTAAAAGAGCTTATTATTAAGTGATTCAAGACTGTGTTTGTGGGGACTTGAAAATTGAAAAGAGAAAAATTAAATAAATCAAAAGAAAACTGTAGAAAATAAAATGAAAGATTTTAGTTTGAGAGGAATTGAAGAAGGGCGGTCATGTGATTGAATACTAAAAGTATGTGGATTAGTTATATGAGGGGGTGAAGTGGTACGGTGTTGTTGTAGCAAGGAAGGGTGATGGAAGGTTTGACGAGGCTGCAGAAAGGTAAGGTAGACATTTCTGCGTACGTTTTGGTCAAAACTTGTGGGTTTGACTTATTCTTGGCTAGCTTCCAATTAATCTGACTGGGTTGGTTCGTTCATCACTTGATTGGATCCTCTACGGTCTACACGCCACAGCATCACGCACCCGCACCCCTTACGTCAGCCCCAAGATAAAATTGCTCTCTTTCTAGTTATACCACTGTATATTTGATTTCGATCGAATGAAGTAAAAGTAAGCAAAAATAGGGGTACCGATGAGATTTATTGTTGAGCCGTCATCCTCTGGGGAACCCATCCGTCCCTGCGGACCATCAGGAGTGGAGCCGTCATCAGCACGTACCAGCCCTAGAGTCACCATGCTCGCATAGTCCTCATCCCTCATGAGTGATGGAAAAAGAACACTCAAGTTACTATATATTTGAAGTGGACTTGATCTATTTCAAGTACTGATGTAATGAAAGAAACAACGACAACATGGCTTCTGCAGAATTGCTCTTTTCAATATATTTCTAAGAGGAAAAACCCAGTTCTTACTTGGATCAAAAAACCTCTTAGTCGAACAATACATATATACATATTACAACTCACACAAAGAACTGCTAAATAACTAACCTTCCCACGTTCCATTTCGTGCAAGCTGGTCGTGGGAGAGGTTTCAACTACATCCAGACGTAATATAAAAACATAAGTAACTTACACAATGATGACTAGGACTGACACATAAGCATTGACCTTGACTGTAACACAAGTTTAACTTCTCACATTCACCCCCTTAAACTTGATCAACCCTTCGTGGACCTTATTCCAATTCTTTCTCGCAATTCCATGAATCTTTGTCTTCCAAGTGGTTTAGTTAACATATCAGCAAGTTGAGTTTCAGTCTTGGTGTACTCCAGCTGCACTATGTCTTTCTCAATGCACTCACGTATGAAATGAAACCTAGTGTCAATGTGTTTACTTCTTTCGTGATGGACTTGGATTTCTTGCAAGTGCTATTGCAGATTTGTTATCAACTTTCAACCTTGGTTTCATGCATGTTCCTCCCTGTAGACTCTCCAGTAGTTTTGTGAGCCAGATAGCTTGACACACCCCTCCTGTTGAAGCTATATATTCTGCCTCGCACGATGATAGTGCAACTATTCTCTGCATCTGGGAAACCCACGTCATTGGACTATCACCTAGGAAGAAAATGATCCCAGTTGTACTCTTTTTATCATCCAAATCGCCTGCAAGATCACTGTCACTGTACCCAACAAGTGGCTCAATGTTTCTCCCCTTTTTATATATGCATCCCATATCCACTGTGCCTTGAATGTATCTCAGTATATGTTTCACAGCATTCATGTGTGTGATTGTAGGCTCCTCCATATACCTGCTCATAATTCCCACAGAATAAGTGAGGTCAGGACGTGTATTTACCAGGTACCTCAAACTTCCGATGATACTTCTATACATGGTAGGATCTACTTGCATCTCTTCATCAAATTTGCTGAATTTGCTTCTTGGTTCCATTAGGATGCAACATGGATTACATTCTTTCATTCCTGCTTTTTCAAGGATCTTCTTTGCATAGCTTGACTGACATAATGTTATATTTTCACTTCCTTGATTTACTTCTATCCCCAAGTAGTAGCTAAGAAGTCCCAAATCGCTCATCTCAAACTTTTGCATCATCTCCTGCTTGAACCTTTGGATGAGTATATGGTTTGATCCAGTGAGAATAAGATCATCCACATACACTCCTACAATGGTTACATCATCTCATGTCTTCTTCATGTACACAGCATGTTCATAAATGCATCTTTTGAAATTCAAAGATTTCAAGCAAGCATCTAGCTTCTCATTCCAAGCTCTAGGTGCTTGCTTCAATCCATACAAAGCTTTGTGAAGTTTAAGCACTTTGTTTGGATAGTTTGTGTCAATGAAACCCTCAGGTTGTAAGACATATACCTTCTCTTTCAGATCTTCGTTTAAGAAAGCGGTTTTGATGTCTAAGTGATGGACATTCCATTTCATATGTGCTGAGTGTGCTAGCAGAATCCTCACAGTTTCCATTCTAGCAACTGGAGCAAAAACTTCTTTGTAGTCGACCCCATATTTCTGTACATAGCCCTTTGCGACAAGCCTAGCTTTATACTTGACTATCTTCCCTTCTGGATTCTTTTTTAGTTTGAAAATCCATTTCAAACCAATAGCTTTATGATTTTTGGGCAACTCTGTCAATTCCCAAGTTCCATTTTTCTGTATGGAGTCAATCTCTAGAGCCATCGCTTCTCTCCAGTGTTCACTACTTGCTGCTTCAGTGAACGTTCCAGGTTCCTCCATTGCCAAAAAACACAAACCTACCTCTTCATTGATATTTCTAGTAGCATCATAGATCTCCTATAGTGATCTGAAGTTTATATGCCCTCCATTTGAACTGGAACTGGTTTGTGAATCAGGTGTGTTTGGTGGTGTTTCATGTGATTGGGATATATCAGTGTTCCCCTCATTGAAAAAATGTTGGATGTTATTTCCTCTTCCTTCTTTTATGCTGATAGTGAGGTTATTTCCTTTGTCATTTTCATCTGGATCAGATTGCCAATCCCATCCCTTCTGTTCTTCAAATATTACATCTCTGCTGACTATCACCTTTCCTCTCAGAGGATCAAGCAGCATGTATGCCTTTGAACCTTCCTCATATCCAAGTAAGACTGTTTTGCAGCTTCTATCTTCCAGCTTTGTAATGTGTGGTAATACAACCTTGGCATGAGCTAAACAACCAAATATACGTAAGTGTTTTACATTTGGAAGTTTACCATACAAATCTTGATAGGGTGTCATCTCTTCTACACTCTTTGTTGGAGCTCTATTCAGCAAGTATACTGAGGTTCTGACTGCTTCACCCCAGTACTTCGTTGGCATGTTCTTATTTTTCAACAAACTTCTTGCCATTTCCATCACAGTTTGATTTCTCCTCTCCACTATACCATTTTGCTGCGGAGAGTAAGGTGCAGTTAGATGCCTCTTTATACCTTCCTTCTCACAGAATGTTTTGAAATCAACTGACATGAACTCTCCTCCTCTATCTGTTCTAAAACATTTTACTTTAGCTTCCACCTCATTTTCAACCAAACATTTGAACCTTTTAAAGGCCTCAAATGCCTCTCCTTTCTGTTTTAGAAGTGACATCCACATGAACCGTGAGAAATCATCCACCAAAAGTAGAAACTAATTGTTACCTCCTGGAGTTGATGGTGATATTGGTCCACATAGATCTCCATGAATTAGTTCAAGTTTCTCTTGAGCTCTGTAGCTTGCCTTTTGTGGGAATACCGTTCTGTGTTGCTTCCCAATCAAACATCCATCACAAACTTGATTTATCTGTGATATTTCTGGCATACCATCTACCATTTTGTGACTTGAGAGTTTTTTTAGTGCTTGGAAATTTAAATGACCATACCTTGCATGCCACAACCAAGCCTTGTCTGTCATACTTGTCAATAAACACACTTTCTCAGCAGTCTGCAACTTGGCTACGAACAACCTGTTTGGTTGTCTTTGAACTTTGAGTATTAGTCTGTTATGCCCATCATAGATCTTCAATAGTCCTCCTTTGATTGAAACCTGGCTGCCGTTTTCTTCAAGCTGCCCAATGCTTATAATATTGCTCTTTAGTCTTGGTATGTAGTACACATTTGATAGGATCAAGTGTTCTCCATTGTTGCATTGGAATATCACTGATACCTTCCCACATATGATTATCATGGAGCCATCTTCGAACTTCACTCTCCCTTGAATTGTCTGATCAATTTCAGAGAATTGACGTTTGTCACCTGTCATGTGGTTGCTTGCTCCGGTATCAAGATACCACCCAGTTTCGTTTCCAACATTCCTGCTTCCAGTGTTCATTTCTTCTCTGTTTGACCTGGCGTGGGATCTGGTCAGTTCACACGATTCTATCATAAGCAGTGCAGGTTCATCGCTTTCTTCTTGTTCAGTAATATTTACTTGTTCTTCCTTCTCGTCTGATGGACATTCTGAAGCAAAATGTCCCATCTTTTCACAATTATAGCATTTGATTTTTGACTTATCAAATTTCCTTCTTTGTTGTGGCTCATCATCCTTTCTCTTTGTCCAGCCTCTACCTCTGCCACGTCCTCGGCCTCTTCCTCCTTTATAGCTTCCATGATCTCTTGCATTACCTTTTTTGTTTTCTCCATCCTCTTTTGCTCTCCACTCTGCTTGTGTAAGCAGTACTGTGTCATCTTCTTTGGCACCATAGCCTTGTAGTCTTTCCTCATGAGCTTTAAGAGACCCAATTACTTCATCTATTGTTTTTGTCTTCAAATCTCCAAATTCTTCGATTGTAGAGGCAATCTGCAAAAACTTAGATGAAGTTGATCTCAACAGTTTTTTTTACCACAGTTTCTTCTTCTACCGTATTACCCAGTCCTCTTAGCTTGCTTACAATGATCTGAAGCTTTCCGGAGTACTCATTTATGCTGTCTGTATCATTCATTCTCATTACTTCAAAGTCACGCAGTAGTGTTTGAGTCCTCACTTCTTTTACTCTTTCAGCCCCAAGATGCATTGTCTTTAGCATTTTCCATGCCTCCTTGGCTGATTTCTTTGCACCTAGTTGGAGTAGAATGTCTTCACTTATACCCTGATGCTAATGCCATCTTATCTTTTCGAGTTTCAACCGCACCTTCGGTCTCCACAGCATCCCATACCCCTTGTGCTATCATGAACACTTCCATCTTTATAGCCCAAGCAGCATAATTACTTTTAGTGAGCATGGGATATCTCAAACTGATTGATTCTCCTTTTTCTTGAGTGTTTCCTTCATTTGAATCGTTTGACATGGTTGATCTTTGTTGGAGATATTTTAATTGTGAATCAAGTTTGTCATAGATT